GCTAACTCATTGGTACTTATTTGTGAAGACTGCTGATTTGCTACTTTTTTCCCTTGATCTCATTGAGTGGTTGTGCATTCTTAATTTTCTTAATCAAAGCTTCATATGATCATGCGAGCTAACAAATGGTAATTTGCAGAGGTGGAAGCAATACTAAGAAGTTGCAATGTATGCAGGGAGATTAAAGGCTAGAAACCAGAAATGGGGTTTGGTGTTTCAACAATCTAAATTTTTAATTTGGCCAAAGTACCAAAAATATGCTTTTTCTCGTTCTTTGAGGCACATAAATATTGAAAGGTGTTCATCACTTGATAGTTCAATCAGAAAATATTTCTTTGATTCATTTGCATCTCGCGGTATAGTCTGTGGACGCAGTTATGCTTGTTTGTCTGGGAGGTTTAGTATGTGTTTGAAAAATGGCCAGTTACGTGTTTATAGTTCTGAAGGTGATGGAAGGAATGCTAGTGAGGATAATCACAGACCTGTGAATAATGACCCTAACTTTGATAAGGGGAAAACTCGACGGGAGAAGGTTAGAGAAGATTTGAAGCATTTTTCCGATGCACATGCTCGGCTTGGTGAGCAGGATCAAAAGGAATGGCTCAACAATGAAAAGCTTGCCCTTGATAGTAAGAAAAAGGAATCGCCTTTTTTAACGAGGCGTGAAAAGTTTAAAAATGAGTTTGCACGGAGAATTCTTCCATGGCAGAAAATACACGTTTCTTGGGAGACCTTTCCTTACTACATTCAGTAAAGCCGACTGACTTAAAATTTTATCTTTCTGGTCTTCAGGTTACTTGAATTTGTCTTTAATTAGTCCTATTGCCTCTCTATTACAGTGAAAACACAAAAAATCTTTTGGTGGAATGTGCAGCCTCTCACCTAAAGCATAAGAAGTTCACTGCTTCATATGGTTCTGGATTGGCATCATCAAGTGGAAGAATATTGCTTCAGAGTATTCCTGGTTTGTAATTGGTCTAACCAATTTATACATTTTCTTCTTCACATTGTTATTGGAATGGAAATACTTCTACTTTAAAGTTTACTTTTAATGACAGAAATCTTTCGGTTTGATCAATTACTGAATGATGTCATTTCCAGGTACTGAGCTTTATCGAGAGAGATTAGTTAGAGCACTTGCGCGTGATTTAAAAGTGCCCCTGCTAGTGCTTGATAGCAGTATTCTTGCTCCTTATGTGAGATTTGATAACTTGGGCAGTATGAGATATCAAATTTCTTTTACTCCTTTCGTCCTTGAAGCTTGATTTATTTTTGTTTATTTTGGTGCAGGATTTTAGTGATGATTGCTCAGAGGGTGAATCAGATGATGAAAATGTAGTGTCAGCTGATGATACTGCTTCAGAGTCAGAGGCTGAAGATGAGAATGATGCAACTAATGAAGAAGAGTGGACAAGCAGCAATGAGGCAAGAACAGATTGTAGTGATAATGATGAAGCTGGTGTAGAAGCTACTGCTGAAGCCGCACTCAAGAAGCTAGTGCCATACAACCTAGAAGACTTTGAGAAGGTTTTTGTTTTTGCTTTTTTTTTTTTCTGAGTAATGGGAATTTGTGGAACAAGTCTGGTACATATTGGGCTTCAGCATGTAATTTTGGTATCTAATGTTTCTTGAAGCTGAGAATGTCAATTCTAATGGTTTATGATATAATCTACTTTACGTGATTAAGTGATACCTGTCTAGACTTAGTGGTCGTTTTAAAACGTAGTTGTTGGTGAAATGATATGGTGTCTTTCAATCTGGCTACATATAACTATGTGATTAACAACTCTACTGATATAGCTATTTGTTGCAGTTAACTGTTTAGAAATTTCAGTTTCATAGTTGAGAGAAATAAGCTTTAGGAGAAACCAAAAATATGCCTGAAATTCGAGGCATTTAAACTATTCTGCTCTTTTTATCAGTAGCATATTTTTGTTTGTTTTTCAAGCTGGAGAAGGCTAATTTACATAATAGCAATCACCTGCATTAGTAAGTGGTGAAAGGATGTAGGTGCTTAGCTGTAAATAATTGTCTTTTTTTTCCTTTATTCTTCCCACAAAAATTTTAGGTGGCTTGTTTAAACCACTGATCCCTTAGCTTCTTTTATTTCTTCTTTCTGCATAATTGGAGAACTGAATTTACTTGTAATTTGGTTCCTAGAGATGTCTAACAACTCTGAATTTTGAACTCTAATACATATATTCTGATTTTGTAATTGTTTTTGTGGCAGAGGGTCTCTGGAGAACTAGAGAGCTCCAGTGAGTCATCTAAAGCGGAGGCTATTGAAGCTGAGAAAACCAAACGTCCACTTAAGAGAGGTAACATATTCTGACTGTAGAATGTACATATGTAGGAATGTATATATACATGTATACTTACATTAGGAATAATTTAGTCTTTTTTCATGTAGAATGTATATATGTAGGAATGTATATATACATGTATACTTACATTAGGGATAACTTAGTATTTTCTCAAGTTGTTAGGACAGCTGATATTGTTAGGACAGCTGGGTGTTCTCTCCACTAATTTTTTTAGCTTTTTGTTAGCACCTTTTTAACTATTTTTATCTTGGCCGAAGACCTATATAAAGGCACATTTGTGCCCATGAAATCGCAAGGAAAATAAGAGGAATTCTCCTCTGTTCACATAAACTTCTTCCTTTATTCTCTTCATGGTATCAGAGCAGCAATTCTGATCCAGAATCATTCACCATCTTACTCAAGCCAAAATGGCAATGGATGAGAAAAACTCCTCTCTCCCTGACGTTATCTCAGGTTCTTATAATTCAATGTCCATCACCTAATCTCACGTCGACCAAACACCTTCATTTGTCACTGGACATAGGCTGAATGGGAGTAGTTATCTCCAATGGTCATCATTCGTCCTCATGTTCATCCGAGGAAAGAGTAGAGATGAATATCTTACGGGAGAAGCCATTCAACCATCAGCAGATGATCCAAGAGCCCATTCGTAGAAGGTCGAAAACAATCTTGTAATGTATTTGTTAGTTAACTCAATGACAATAGAGATTGGAGAGAATTTCTTGCTGTATGAAACTGGGCACGACATTTGGTTGGCCGCGCGCGAGTTTTACTCTAGCCGAGACAATACCTCAGCCATCTTTGAAATCGAGACTCACCTGCACGACCTGCGACAGAGGGAGCTCACCGTGATTTAATACTACAATGCACTCACTCGGAACTGGCAGCAGCTTGACGTCTTCGAAGAACATCAGTGGAGCTATCCCGAGGACTCCAAACTCATCTAAACTCGCACTGACCGAAAAAGGGTATTCAAATTCTTGATGAGTCTCAACAAAAATTTAAATGAAGTTCGTGGTCGTGTTCTGAGTACCAAACCATTGTCAAGCCTCATATAAGTTTTCTCTGAAATCCGTCGAGAAGAGAGTAGGAAAAAAATCATGATGGTGGATCCTTACTCTGACCCGAACTGAAAGAAGACGAGCTCCACCCTTGCTGCTCAGAGGAAGTCGCTACTGAGTGAATCCCAGCTTGTTGTGTTAAAACCCGAGCTGGCCTCTCCTCTCGTCGAGCGTGTTTCTGAAATAGGAGGAAGGAAAGGGAGACCCTGGTGTGACTATTGCAAAAAACCGGGTCACATTAAAGATTAGTGTTGGAAATTACATGGTAAACCGACAGATAAGAAGAATTACAAAAATGATACTCAGGGCAATATGGTAATTTTAGAAAAATTATCCCCTGCACCCACACCTACCGAAAGCTCTCATTTCAGTCCAGCTCAGATGGAAGCTCTCCTACAAATGTTTTCTCAGAAGGGTATTCTCGGTAATACATTCGTTGCTTAGAGAGGTAATTACTTATTCAGTTTATCTGCTTACTCTGTGAAAAAGCAAATATAGATTATTGATTCAGGGACATCCGATCATACGACCGGAGATATCACATTTCTTCATCAGTATAGTAAATGTAAGGAAATTTCCTCCATCAAGATTGCTGATAGAACAAGTTCTAAAGTAGCAGGGGTTGGCTCAACCGTTATATCATCAAATTTGATATTACAGTCTGTTCTTTATGTGCCTAATCTAGATTGCAATCTGCTGTCTGTAAGCAAATTATGTAACGACTTGAACTATATTGTTAAATTTGACAGTGGTTCATGTGTTTTTCAGGACTTGGCCACGGGGACGATGATTGACACTGTTAAGAAGGAATCAAAACTTTATCTTCTACCAGTCACAATCTCACCTTCAAATGGACAAACTTCAAGTGCAGTATGTGCTAACTCAGTATCTGTAAGATGTTCTAATGTTGACAAATCTATTATATTATGACATTATAGATTAGGACATCCAAACTTCATTATTTAAAACAACTATTTTCTACTCTATTCAGAAATAAAAATTCAAGTTCATTTCAATGTGAAGTATTTCTATTCTCTAAATACACTCGTAATTCATATTCCAGTATTGCTTACAAACCCTCAAAACCCTTTGCATTAATTCATAGTGATGTTTGGGGATCGGTATAGATTAAAAATGTTACTGGCACAAAATGGTTTGTCTCCTTTATTGATGATCACACTAGAGTAACTTGAATTTATCTGATGAAAGAAAAATCTGAGATTGGTCAAATTTTTCACAAATTCAACATTATGATTCAAATACAATTTGAGACAAAAATACAAATGTTGAAAACTGACGATGCATGTGAATATTTTGCATCCAATCTAAGCAAATTCCTTACTGAACAAAGTATTGTCCATCAAAGTTCTTATCCTTACACCTCCCAACAGAATGGTGTAGCCGAAAGAAAAAATAGGCATATACTTAAAGTATCCCGCTCACTTATGTTTACCACAAATGTCCCTAAATTCCTTTGGGGAGAGGCTATCCTCACTACTACATATCTGATCAACCGGATGCCCTCTCGTATATTTCAGTTCAAAACACCTTATGACTCTCTTGTTCAAGCCTTCCCAACATCACACATCCTTC